AGAGTGGGAGGGGGATGAAGAATTTCTCTCCCTGCCTCCAAGACTGCGGGAGCTGGATAGTCTGGCACAGTTTTTGTCCGATCTTTCCTTCGTAAGGACGCCCGGGCGCGACCACCGTAACCTTCCACGTCACAGCGACGGCAGGCAGCCCCTGTCATCTGAGCTGGCTCCTTTCGGAGAAGCGGGTGGCAGGGACAAAAGAGGGAGCGTTGAGGATTGTGCTGGGCTGTGGCACTCCTGCAGCTCTCAAAAGCCCAGCTGGGAAAATGCTGAATCCTGTGGTCAGGTCCAGAGGGATCCTCTGCGGGGACTTCACCTACCGGCCGGTCTCGGGGACGCGTTGGATGTGACGTACCTACATGAACCACGGGTCAAGGGGCATCCGAAGAAGAGCCAGCAGAGAGAGTCCCTTGCCCAGTGCGTTAAGGTAGGCTGAGACCAGAAATAAAGTTTATTATGGGAAGATCTTGCATAAAATGTGCCTGTGTTTGGGGCACAATTAATTAAGGCTTCCCCTTCTGCATGGTGTTTGGTGCCTGGCAGCCGGCAGTAATTTAAGGAGGGAGGCTCATCAGAGCAGATAGTTTCTTCTGATGGAGCAGGAGCCCATCTCGCTTCTCCTGGGGCTCAGCATCACGGGGCTAGGCTCAGTGGAAATGTGGCGCTCGCCTTCCCCCAGCCCACCCATCCTGCAGCGCTGCTGCACCAAGGAACGTGCAGGAGCCGTGTCCGGGCTGAGCCAGCGTGAAATCCGGCGTTCACTGCTTTCCCCATCACTCCAGCTCTTTAACGCGGCATGGCCGCCTTGCCCTGCAGTCCGGGCTCACTCATCGTCCCCAGGCTGGGTCCTGCTTACACGTGTAATAAGGCCAGGCAGAGCTGGTGGGGCTTCTCTGAGGAGTTTCCTGATTATTTTGTGAATTTTTATTTTTCGGGCGAGCGATGCCTCGTGGCCATCCTGCCACCAGTGCTGCTCTCCCAGACCAGCGAGGATGGCTCCCCACCTGCCCCTCCCCAGCCCCGGGCTGAATTCGGAAGCGATGCTGGGCTGTTTGCAAGGGACTAATTATTGTCGGGCACATAGCTGCAAACACCAGTGCAGCTCATTCCCCCTCTTGTATGGGAGTAACTCTGCCAAATTAAAAGGGTCGGCATTTGGGTGTTGACCTGTCGCCCACATCGCGGTGCCGGGGAGAAGCAGCTCAGCTTTGTAGCAAAACCTCAAGTCCCAAGGAGCAGGAGCGGGGCTGGAGCCTGGTTTCGGTGAGAGCGGAGGCCCTTGGGATTCGTTCAGCGTCTTACAAAAATAATCCCTTACCGAGACACTTTAAAAATAAGTGAAAGCACTTAATTGAACAAGGTGAACCCTTGGGGAAGAGCAACTGCAAATTAACTGCGTGGCTCCGGTGAGGAGGAGGGTGTCCCTTCGGCTGGGAGGCGGTGAACGCAAACCCCTTCCGGCCCCTCTCCGTAGCAGCCGTTTCATGGTGACCCTCAGTTGGTTTTGGGGTGTGTTTAGAGGTTCTGCTTTGCCTTTTTTTTTAATTATTATTATTATTTTCTGTCGACCCTTGGTTTCCCAAGCTTGGGGGTGTTTGTGTGCTGAGGGGAGGCGGATGCCACCGAGCAGGAGGGAGCAGGTGTTGTCTTCTGAAACACTGCTGGCTCACGTGTTGCTGTCCCTGTTGCAGAAATAGATAAGTAACCCCTGTTGTTATGGTCTGTTAAGTAGATGTTTTGCTGCCAGCTGGAAGAGCTAATTTGTTGGCTGTACGACGTGGCAGACATCACCGACAGCTGGATCCCGGCCTCGCCGGACGCCGGGAACGTGAAGGCATCGCTGCGCCGCTGCTTGGTAGGTATGGCCGCCGCCTTTCCTTCCCCCTCTTCGGGGCTGCGGGCGGCCAGCGGCACGGAGCAAGACACCGCTGGCACGGTCTGAGTGGGTGGTGGGGGGTGCGTCAGGTGTGCCAAGCTGAGTCTGGGAACACTGGAAACCCGCTCAAGGGGAATCTGCTCCCCGGGCAACCCGCCGCAGGGGTGTCTCTTCCAAAAACCCCTTCTAAGCAGCGCTCCTCTTCTCCTTGCCTTCCCAGGAGTTCAGGAAGGATGTGGCCGACCACCGGAGCCTGACGGAGCGCGTGCTGGAGAGGGGAGAAGCTCTCCTCGACTGCATGGCATCAAATTCGCCAGGTGAGGAGGAGCGCTTGAGCGAGGCTGGTCGTGGACACAGCCGGTGATGCCGGCCACAGCGCCTGCCCCCCGACATCCCTGGCCCCCCGGGTGTGGGGGTGGGGCAGAGTTGGCCGTTCAGCAGCTGTATGGGAACGAAGAGGGTTTCACACCTCCGCTGCTGTCCAGAGACTTGGAGGTGACCTGGAGGTTTGAAGCGACTGCTCCCGAGCACTTTCAGCTGCACCGTGCCGTCACCCTTGCCTTGCGCTGTGCCATCTGTCGTGGGTGATGGATGTCTTGCTGCCTCTCAGGGGTCCCTTAGGTTTTTATGTTAACCGCAGCACGGCCAGCTCCTGCTGGGCTCTGGGATGCTGCTGCCCTGCAGCTGGGAGGAGATGCTTTCGTCCAGCGCGGGAGGAGGTGATTTTCATGCCCTGCTTGGACGCGGTGCGTCCCGGGGCAGGTGTTGGCAGCCCATCTGGGGGGAGCCCGGCCTGGCTGGTGGCATGGCACGCGTGGGGCAGTCGCGCCGGTGGTTTGGTGCGTCCTGCACAAGGGATTTCTGAAGGGCGGGCTGCGTTTGCAGTCACCAGAGGGGCTTTAGTGGTTGAGTGTTGCGCTGTGGATCGCTTTCTTACACAGTCCCAAAGGTTTCCCCTATTTCTGCATCTTCACTGTTAACCTGGAACCTCCTACGTCGCTTCCCCCTCCAAACTCTGCGTCACAACTTGGATGGGATGAAGATCAGCATATTGATTTCTAACACTTCATTTCCTTCAAAAGTCTGCCCGGGCGAGTGGGACTCAACAGACATTGAGCTGTCACATTGCTGCCACCTCCATCATAGGTTTTGTTTTCCAGCTCTGAGAGACACGCTGGGTTTGATTGCGAAGCAGTCAGAAGAGCTAGAAACCCACGCGGAGCACTTGTACGAGTCTGTCCTAGCTGCTGTGGGTCCCGTGCGGGGCGAGGACGGGATGGAGGACAAGGGGGTGCAGCGGACGGCTGCCCAGTGGGTAAGCAGGAGGGCAAACCAGCCTTTCTGCAGCGGGGGAAGAGGGAGGGAAGCGTAGGAAGGTAAACACTTACATTAGCAAACACTATACATCGGCCTTTATTATTATTTCTTTTAATCTGTTGTTTGGAAAGCCCAAAGGGAGAAGCAAGCGTGGGTGATCTCAAAATGGATGCCCCATCGTCTTTAGATGTGCGTCAGGGCAGGAGCAGCGTGGGGGTGAACCAGCTGATGAAACCCAAGAGCGTGATGAGAGCGATGGTGGGACTCGGGGAGCCGGCAGGCAGGGCAGTCACTCAGGGGACGTCAGCGGTCCGGCACAGACAGCTGCTCTACCCCAATTGCTTGGACAGCAGAGGGGAGACAGAGGGGGAGGGGTTTTTTTTGGTTGGTTGGGGTTTCCCACCCCC